AAAAGGAGGAAAATCTTGAGTATCCAAAAGCGCTAGACCAACCACTTATAGTGAATGAAAGTAACACCAATGATAAAATTCAAGAAGCTCTTGAAAAATTGATGGATGTAAGTTTGCTTTTTTCATCCTCTTTTAGAACTAAATGTTTAAATTTAACACGAGTTTCTCTTGAGGTTATACGCCCACTGATTGAGTGCCAATTGACTTATTTTGCAAGTATCAGAAGACACATGCAATGATCCTGAGGTCGATGGCAACATCCACCTGAAGTCGTCCGAGGACTCTGATCCCCCTCCTAGACAAGTATGCCTTCAAATGCGCCATCGCAGCCTCCATTGCCTCCATTTTGCTTGGTTTTGGTCAGTCCCCTCTCTCTCTCTACGTCCGATGTTGTCAAGCATGGAAAGACTCACCCATGGTCATCCATGAAGTTTGGAAATATGTCTGTACAAATCAATTTTCCATAGAGTGAATTAATCTCTTGCAACTTAATTCTGTTACAAAAGGAAATAGTAATTAAGTTATATCACTGTCATTGTAATTTCTTTTCCTAGCTTTGTTAGTGATAAAAATGATAGATCTACGGCCAGAGGTCGTTTTTTTAATGTATAGAAAAATAAAAAATAAAAAATTACTTAATTTTGAAAACAGCATCCATTTTTTTTAGCCAAGCAAGTTGATTTCAGAAAAGTTCATCATGCTTATTATTTCTTATCATTCTAATCTTATAATCATATACATTTGGAAAATAAATTCAACGAAAGAAGGAGGAAGATAGGGCACATAATATTTTCTTTTATTTTTTCAATTTCTTGTGTATGGTTACTGTTATGTGGCAAAATTTTGATGATATATAAGGTTTTGTTTTTTTGTTTTTGAATTTTGGCAGACACAGGAGTGATGAGCGGGGCGATCCTATAAGTAAAAAAGGAACTGAAGATAACTGATGTGCAAGTTAAGGAGGAGGCCGACGCGAAGTGCTTTTTCGCCGGGACCTCCGACTTCGAGGAGGCTGCGCTTCGGCTTGCCGACATCAAGGAGGTTGCCGACATTGCTAAGAAGTGTTGTTAGGATCTTGTCAAGACCACTAAGCAGAGCACAAGAGAGGGCAAGTGGAGGGAACTTCTCCTCCCGTGGTCGCATACGTTCGCCGCATGCTCACCGGAGAACACCGGAGAGCATTTGTGAGGATTAATCGACTTGAAGATATTATTTTTGATTTATAGTATATATCAATATATTGTTTTGTAAAATATTTTTTATTTTTCTTATTTGTCTATCTCATATTTAAAATTTCACAACGGTTGTCATTAATATAATTCCTAAAAAATATGATATTTTCATACAAGCTAAACGCGCAAAACTAGGATAGGAACCTTAGTCAATATGAATCTCCTAAAAATTATAAGAGATAAAATTCATGCAAAGCATGGCTTACATAGGATTGTGAAGGCACATTTCATAATCGATGAATTACCATAAGGTCCTTCATTTTAAAATAGACAATGTACATTTGAATTTCTTGCATTTTAGTTAGTAAGGTAAGTTTTGCATTTTTGTAAGGATATGAATCCTCTAATGTAAAGGAATGATATGCATGACGACTATGCAGCCCCTGTTGACGTTTGCTTCCCGCCATCATCATATCCTCGACTTTATAGACATTCTCATTGCCCTCTCTCTCTCCCTCAACAAAAATTGGGGGATGCGATCTCATGCCGTCAAAAAATAAGGAGGGATGCCCAATGATTAATAAATAACGGTGTCTCACCCGCATCTGATTCACTAGAGATAACCCGACTCAAAACAAATGACTAAATTTGCTCGCTTTAGACTTTCTTTTGTTCGTGAAAGAAAGAACCATAAATTACCGCCACTAGGGGATTCCAACATGACGAGGACCTCGATAACGAGCAGAGCCAAGGAGATTGCTCCCTCGTCGAGAAGGACACGCCACCCCGAGGTTGACGTGGAGCTCGGAGAAGATATTAGATGGAGATGTAGCCAAAGAGAGTTCTGACCTTGCTGAACACCTGAACCGCCGGAGTGATTATCAATGCATGAATTTTAACGGGCACATCAAAACAACCAATAATAAAAAAAGAACCGGTCCAGCTCGTTTTCAGCCTGAGTCATTCCGCACGGCCCATGCCCAATCTCAACATTTTGGCCCATTAAACTTGAAGGAAATTAGCCCATGTTAATACGAGGAAAGAAACACCTAAGTGAGCCTAGCAAGCAAGAATAAGAAAAGCCCAAGAGAAAAGGCCCACGTCCATAGGTAATGGCTCCGCATGTGCATAACGGAATCGGTTTTAAATCGTGCACCCGCACAGGCACACGCGGAACCGTCGCTCGAGGAAGCGATTCTCTTCTGACGTCTCCAAGACGCTGTTCGCCGCCGCCTTCGCTGCTGCCGCTATCTATTCATTTCTAACGCCGTGCATGAGAGTTATGGAGTTTTCGCCAGCCAGCGTTGATCAGAGGGCAGGCGCAGAACTATAAGGAAATTATTTTTGTTCCCATTCACGGCCGAGAGAGAGAGAGAGAGCACGAGAGAGGAATGCTCGAACACAAAATTTTCTCCTGTCGAACCAAGTGCAAGAGGCTTTGAGAAATGACCGATCGACGCTGAAATCCACCATTCGAGCATTCGTGGACGATTGCGTTCCACTTACCACCGGAGTTACGGATTTAGAAAAAACACGTTCGTACGTACGCATCGGTCATAGAAGCGAGAGCCAAAAATCTTCTGGATGGAAAATTTGCTTCGTCTTCAAGCTTTCTCCATCGTTTCTGAACGCTGTCCGAGGCATGGATCATCGCCGTCTTTAGTTTCTAAGATGGCAGTTGCAATGCTCTGTTTCGACTCTGTTTCGCAGCCAAAAGGCCTTGGAGTAATTGGACTCTGCTCGATCCTGCAGCTTCAACCACCGACGACCATGTCGTCTTGGAAATTCGGGTTCTCTGTTCAATTGGTGTTCCTGGTCATTGCATCTACCACGTACGAATATTCTTAATCTAATATGGCTAATCGAGTCTCATAAATGTGGTTGAGGCTCACGTGAAATTCGTTCGGTGTTTTACTTCTCGCAATATGATTGTCGCATCTTCATGTATGTATATGTCATTTTTCATGAATAAATCGAGAGCCATATATCTTGTAAACCCAACCATAACCTAACTAGTTTTGGATCATGCATGTATCGATTTGTGTTGCTTGTCGATTTAACGATTGATGTGGAAACCATATTTCATAGCTCTCAAATTACCATGAACAAGACCCAACAATCGAGCTGTTGCTCAAGTGTTGATTCTGCCGTGTTTCCATCATTGTTGTGTTTTTTCCGCATTCATATTCGATATGTTGACTACATATTCCGGTTGTGTTCACTGCTGAGGTGAAGTGTGTTTGCGATTTGTTGTTCAGGAAGTAAAAATTTGCATCAATGATGTGTGAGTCGAGTTATGGTTCGGAGAGTATAGTCATGAATAAAAAAGAAGAGACAGACGGAAAGTTAAAAGAGGAGGAACTCATGTTCTAGAAATATATTATAGGATTGAAAAATGAAATGAAATGAATAATAAAAGAGAAGAAAAGAAATAAAAAAAAACGGTTCAGCAAAGATATTAGAAATTGGGTTAGGGTTTTAACCTTGGTGTGGTTGTGATGGAAGATGGCTTTAATGTGGGCTTAAGCATGATTTGACAAAAGAATGGGCTTGAGTGAGCTTTTATTCGAAGTTGGGTTTGTGAGGTTTAATTGAAATAGATATAACGAGCAAGTCCATTTAAGTGCCTGGCTTTAGTCCCTATTTTCCAGATTTTTTGTAAAAAATAATAAATATAAAAATTCCTGAAAATAAAAAAAATTGAAATTTGGTTAGAGAAATAGGCCTTGATTAGGTTATTTGATTTTAGTATTAGAATTAGCTAAAAATTAGCATAGTTTCATTTAGTCAGTGTGCATATGATTTAGGGTTTTAGTGGACACCTTTGATTTAGTTTAATCTAAGAAGGTTAATACTTTAGAAAAGAAATTGAACTAAGTTCATGGGGTTGTTGTCCAGGGGCTTAATGAAAAGGCTTATTATATTATTTGCTCGACTTGTATCGGATTATTTTACTGCATTGTATATTTTACGAGTTTTTTATTGCTGTTTTTGATGTGTTTGTTGTGATTACTTTTATATCATTTTTTGTGTTGCAATTCATTTTCATAGTTGAGTGGTTAGGTTTTATTGTAGGATCATAATGAACATAAAAGCATTGCATGGACAGTTAGTCGACAAGAACTTTAGGACTCATAATTGGAAACAGATTGCATAGATACGTTAGTTGACAAATAATCAAGCTTAGGTACCGAAATGACATTAGTTTGGCTAACTAGTGTAATAAAGTCCTCGGCCCTAGATCTTTGGTTGTGTGGGAAGTGAGATATACTCTCATATCTCACTTGGTTTCTAACCGACCCCAATAGACTTGTGGCGAGTCATCATACTGGAATATGATAGGATTAAACAAATCTAAGTGAAAAATCTCAACGTTGCATAAGGTAAGGGTTTTGGTGAATCTGCGCCAATTGAAGACTGTTGGCCACCCTTGGCATTATCTCTAAATCCGTCTTTTCCTCAACCATGTTGCTAAAAAAGAGTCACGACATCGATGTATAAAAAGCAATTACCTTTCGAACTTTAATTTTTCCATCAACATAAGGAAGTCACAAATTGATGACAAATAAAAAAAATGAAAAATGATGCCACAAAATTAAGGGAAAAAAAGAAAGAAAATGAGTTAAGACCCCAGGAATGAGGTCAAGAAGCCGCTGGAGAAGGTAGGGGAGACCTCGTCATGTAGATGGGGGCAATTATGAGGGTATAGTCAATGCTGATGTTAGCGACGACGCGACCCAATAAGAGGAAGGTATAATCGTGGGTGAAGCCCATGAGGAGGGGTCTGAAGAAGAAAATGGCCCTCGTCATTAGGATTGCATTCCCATTGGACATCCGCCTCGCAATCGTCGACTCGAGAGCAAGAACATGTTGAGGATCCCCGTCAGGACCTCAACTTGCACATTGGTTATCTTTAGCTCCTTCTTTACATATAGCATCGGCCCAATCATCACTCCTATCTCTATGAAAATTCAAAATTTTTTTTATCACCACGTAAATAGTAACTATATGCAAGAAATTGAAAAAATAAAAGAAAATATTATGTGCCATATTTTCCTCTTTCTTTCTTTGAATTTATCTTCAAAAAGTGTATGATTATAAGATAAGTGTGATAAACTTTATCTCAAATTAACCTGATTGGCTAAAAAAAAGGGGATGATGCTTTTGAAATTAAGTAATTTATTCAACTTTTTTTTTCCTTTGCCATGCATTAAAGAAATGACCTTTGGAGATAGATCTATCATTTTATCAGTAATAAAGCTAAAAAAAATTGCATTGACTAAAATAAAACTTAATTATGATTTTTTTTGCAACAGAACTAAGTTGCAAGAGATTGATTCACTGTATGGAAAATTGATCTGTAGAGATATATGTCCAAACTCCATTAATGACCATGGGGTGAGTCTTCCCATGCTTCACAACATTGGATGCGGAGAGAGAGAGAGAGAGAGAGAGAGAGAGAGAGAGAGAGAGAGAGAGAGAGAGAGAGAGAGAGAGAGAGAGAGAGAGAGAGAGAGAGAGAGAGAGAGAGAGAGAGAGAGAGAGAGAGAGAGAGAGGCCGCGATGACGCATTTGAAAGCGTACTTGTTCGGGTGTGGTTTTGCTGGAGGATTGGAGTCCTCATTCGATTTCGGTTGGACATTGTTGTCAGCCTCAGGATCACTGCAAGTGTCTTCTAATACTTGCAAAATTAGTTAATTGGCACTTAATTCGTGACGTATAGCTGCATGAGAAATTCTCGTTAAGTTTAAAAATCTGGCTATGAAAGAGGAAGAGAAAAGCAAACTTACATCCATCAATTCTTCGGGAGCTTCTTGAATCTCATTATTGGTGTTACTTTCATTTACAATGAGGGGTTGGTCTGGCACTTCTATACATTCAAGATTTTCCTCCCTTTACCTCATAACCGATAGCCAAATGACATCCTCATTTTTCAACAAGCTGTTTTTCTTTTATGTACTCCTTGACGTTTAACGAGCCACTCAGTTATTCAATTCCAAATTCCGAGACTTGTTTTCTAGCAAGTTACTTTTCCAAGTTGAATCAAGGGTGATCGATTGTTTTGCATCAAACGATGCTCACCCCTTTTACAAGGGATGCCCAGTGGCCGACAAATGAGAAGGGTTTCTCGACCCCAATGGCCAACAAACAAAGAAGGGTCAACAGGTCGGGAGGGATGCCCAATGGCTGACAAATAAGGAGGGTCTCTTCCCAGTGATTCACAAATGAGGAGAGGTTGATAAATAAGGAGGGATGTCCAATGGCCACAAATTAGGAGGGGCCAAAAAATTGAGGAGAGTCTCTCTCAATAGCCGAGGAAAAAGGTGGGCAACAGGTACTATGGAATCATTTTTCCAAGGTACTTAACGCCATAATCCATAACGGGTGAAGGTCGAGGATGGTCTTCAACCAACAAATCCAACGTACTTAGTGCTTTTACCCTATCCACATAGTGTCTCCTCACTAGTGCATGCTTAACCGACGCTACATTGGAGGAGGTGCAAACTTTGATTAAAATCCCTAAATCCCCTCCCATGCAGACAAGGCGTTTTCGATACGGGCATGCAAATTGCAGTAGATATGATTTCTTCTATGCATGATTGTGACTTGTATCAACGGTGTTTATGAGTTGTAAGTAAAGGGTTAATGTGTGATACAACAATTTTAACGGGTCATTTTTACTACAATTTTAACGTGCTGCCAACAATGTATCAACGGTCTTTATGAATTGTAAGTTAGGGGTTAATGTGGCAAACAGGTACCGTGTACTATTGCATGTTTTGTCCACAAAATATCAATGGTCTTTGCTTGGGGATTAATGTGCGATATAGGCACATGTCAGATGGTTTCGATTCGATTCAATGGGAACAAGCAGAGAAGCACGGAGTTTTGTTTACTTGGAACAAACTTCTCCTTTCACATATTGAAAATGTCATGTCTGCATGGGAGGAGACTTTGGGATTTTAATCAAAACTTGCGCCTCCTCCAATGTAGCGTCTTTTGAGCACGCAGCAGTGAAGAGACGCCACATGGATAGGGCAAAATCACTAAGGATGCTGGATTTGTCAGGCTGAAGATCATGCTTGTTCATCACCCGTTATGGTGTACAACTTTAAGTACTCTGGAAATTGATTCCATGTTCCCTGTTGCCCTCCTTATTCATTGGCTATTGGGATAGACTCTCCTTATTTGTCAGCTTCTTGTTATTTGTGGCCATTGGGCATCCCTCCTTCTATGTCGACCGCTCCTTATTTTTGGAACATTGGGCCAAGACCCCCATTGGGGTCGAGAGACCCTCCTCATTTATCGGTCATTGGGCATCTCTTATAAAAGGGGTGAGCATCGGTTGATGCAAAACAATCGATCACCCCATGATTCAACTTGGAAAAGCAGCTTGCTAAAAAAAGTCTTGGAATTTGGAATGGAACAACCGAGTGGTTCGTTAAACATTATAGATCACATGGAGGATGAGGAAGTCGTTTGGCTATTAAATATGAGGGAAAGGGAGGAAAGTCTTGAGTATCTAGAAGCGCCGGACCAACCACTCATATTAATTGAAAGCAAAACCAACGATGAGATTTAAGAAGCTCCCGAAAATTGGTGGATGTAAGTTTGCTTTTCTCTTACTCTTTTATAACTAGATTTTTAAATTTAACACAAGTTTCTCTTGCGGCTATACACTACATATTGAGTGCCAATTGACTTACTTTGTAGGTATTATAATAGACATGTAGTGATCCTAAGGTTGACGGCAACATCCAACCGAAGTCAACCGAAGACTTCGATCCTCTTGTGAAGCCACACCCGAACAAGTATTCCTTCAAATGTGCTAGAGCGGCCTACATGACCACCATTTTACTTGATTTTGGTTAGTCCTCCCCCCCCCTCTCCCTCCAATGTTGTGAAGCATGGGAAGACTCAACCCATGATCGTCCATGACGTTTGGAAATATATCTTTGCGAGTCAATTTTTTATACAGTGAATCAATCTCTTGCAACTTAATTCTGCTGCAAAAATATAAAATAAAATTATATCTTTGTCATAGTACTTTTTTCTTTCTAGCCTTATTACTGAAAAATGATACATTTATTATCAAAAGTCATTTTTTAATGCATATAAAATGAAAAAAAAGCAAAAAGAAAAAAAAAGAAAAAAATTACTTAATTTCAAAAACATTCTCCACTTTTTTTTAGCCAACAAAATTAATTTCAGATAAAGTCCATCACACTTATTATTTCTCATCATTCTTATCATCATATATATTTGGAAAATAAATACAAAGAAAGAAGGATGAAGATAAAACACATAATATTTTCTTTTATGTTTTATTTTTTCAATATTTTGTATATGGTTACTATTTACGTGGTAACATTTTGATGATATATAGGAATTTTTTTTTTTAAATGTTGGCAGAGAAAGGAGTGATGAGCGGGGCATGCTATACGTAAAGAGGGAGTTGAAGATAACCAACGTGTAGGCTGACGTCTTTACAGGGATCCTCAACGTGTTCTTGCCCCTCGAGTCGGCAATTACGGGTCGAATCTATGACAGGATTGGCCACCGTTACACGATCCTATTGGCAAGGGCCACGATCCTATTGGCAAGGGCCATTTTCTTCTTCCCGCCCATCCTCATGGGCTTCGCCCGTGACTACACCTTCCTCGTATTGGCCCCTGCCGTCGCTAACATTGACGTTGACTGGACCCTCATGATCGCCCCTGTCTACATCGCAGAGGTCTCCTTTGCCTTCTCCTATGGCTTCTTTACCTCCATCCCTCAAGTACTAACTCATTTTCTTTTCTTTTTTTTTTTCCTAATTTTGTAGCATCTACTTCATTTTTTTATTTGTCATCAACTTTTGTCTTCTTCATGTTAAACTTTCATTGTTCTTGTTTAGGGAAAAATGAAAATTAGAAAGGCGATTGCTTTTTTATACATCGTTTCGATAGTTCAAGTGTTCATCAATGTCAGCACCCTCGTTGGCTACATCTCCATCTAAGCTTTCTCAAAGCTCCATTTCAACCTCGGGTGGCGTGTCAAGCTTAGCATGGGAGCAATCTCCTTGGTCCTGCTCTTCATCGGAGTCCTTGTCAAGTCGGAATCCCCAGTAGCTCATCATTGAGGTCTCCTCTGCCTTCTCCCGTGGCTTCTTTACCTCCTTCCCTAAGGTACCAACTCATTTTCTTTTCTTTTTTTTCCCCTTAATTTTGTAGCATCTTTTTCATTTTTTATTTGTCATCAACTTTTGTCTTCTTCATGTTGAATTTGCATTGTTCTTGTTTCGGGAAAAATGAAAATTAGAATGGCAATTGCTTTTTTATACATCGTTTCGAGTGTTCATCAATGTCGGCACCACGTTGGCTATATCTCCATCTATGCCTTCTCCAAGCTACACTTCAACCTGGGGTGATGTGTTAAGCTCAGCAAGGGAGCAATCTTCTTGGTCCTATTTGCCATCGGGGTCCTCGTCAAGTCGGAATCCCCGGTGGCTTATCATGCAAGGCTGCCTAGGTGACGCGAAGCACTTCCTCGCAAGGACCTCCGACTCCAAGAAGGAGCCGCACTCCGGCTCCCCGACATCAATAAGGCTGCCGACATCCCTAAGGAGTGCAACGAGGATATTGTCAAAATCACCAAGCAGAGTGTCGGAGAGGACATGTGGCGAGAGGACAAGTGACGGAATCTCCTTCTCCAACTAACTTGTCCGTCCGCCACATGCTTATCTGCATCGTTGGGATCCACTTCTTCCAATAGGCCTGTGGCATTGACACCATCCTTAAAATCGTGGTCCTCCATGTACTCCATGATGTTTAATGAGCCACTTGGTTGTTCCAATCCGTATTCCAAGGCCTTTTATTTTTAGCAAGCAACTTTTCCAAGTTGAACTAGGGGTGATTGATTGTTTTGCATCAACCAGAGCTTACCCCTTTTATAAGAGATGCCTAATGGCTGACAAATAAGGACGGTCTCTCAATCCCAATGGCTGACAAAGACGGAGGGTCTCTCGCCAATGGTCCACAAATGAAGAGAGGTCGACAAATAAGGAAGGATGCCGAAGGGCAATAAATTAGGAAGGACCGATAAATAAGGATAGTCCATTCTAATGCTTGATGAATAAGAAGGGCAACGGGGAATGTGGAATCATTTTCTAAAATACTTAAAGCTGTAGATCGTAAGGGGTGAAGAACGAGCGTGCTCTTTAACTCCAAAAATCCAGCATCCTTAGTGCTTTCGCTCTATCTACATGGTGTCTCCTCATTGGTACATGGTCAATAGACGCTACATTAGAGGAGGCACAAGTTTTGATTAAAATCATGAATTTCCTCCCATGCAAACGAGACATTTTCGATATGTGCATGAAAAAGTCTGATTCCACGTAAACGAAACTCCAAGCTTTGCTGCTTGCTCCTAAGTAATCCAATCACAATCGTCCAACGTAGGTTTCGCCCATGACTATACCTTCCTTGTGTTGGGCCTCGCCGTTGCTAAAATTGACGTTGACTACACCTTCATGATCGCCCTCGTCTACATAATTGAGGTCTCCTTTGCCTTCTCCCATGGCTTCTTTACCTCATTCCCTGAGGTACTAACTCATTTTCTTTTCTATTTTCCCCTTTAATTTTGTAGCATCTTTTTCATTTTTTTATTTGTAATCAACTTTTGTCTTCTTCATGTTGAACTTCCATTGCTGTTGTTTTGGGAAAAATGAAAATTAGAAAGGTGATTGCTTTTTTATACATCGTTTTGGTGTTTAGGTGGTCATCAATGTCAGCACCTTGTTGATTACATATCCATCTACGCCTTCTCAAATCTCCACTTCAACCTCGAGTGGCATGTCAGGCTCCGCATGGGAGCAATCTCCTTGGTCCTGGTCGTCATTGGGATCCTCGTCAAGTCGGAATCCCTGGTGGCTCATCATGCAAGGCTGCCTAGGCGACGCGATCACTTCCTTGCCAAGACCTCTAATTCCAAGAAGGAGGCCGCACTCCGGCACGCCAATATCAATGAGGCTGCTGACATCCCAAAGGAGTGCAATGAGGATGTTGTCAAGATCACCAAGCAGAGCTTCGGAGAAGGCATGTGGCCAGAGGACGTGTGGTGGGATCTCCTTCTCCAACTGATCCGTTCGTCTGCTACATGCTTAATTGGATCGTTGGGATCCACTTATTCGATCAGGCATGTGGCATCAACACCATCCTCTAAATCGTGGTCCTCCATGTACTCCATGATATTTAAGGAGCCACTCAGTTGTTCCATTTCGTATTTCGAGGCCTTTCTTTTTAGCAAGCTAGTTTTCCAAGTTGAATTAGGGGTGATTGATTGTTTTGCGTCAACCGGTGCTTACCCCTTTTATAAGAGATGCCCAGTGGCCGACAAATATAGATGGTTTCTCGATCCCAATGGCCGACAAAGACGGAGGGCCCCTCTCCAATGGTCCACAAATAAGGAGAGGTCGACAAATAAGGAAGGATGTCGAAGGGCCATAAATTAGGCAGGGCCGACAAATAAGGATAGTCCATTCTAATGCTCGACGAATAAGAAGGGTAACAGGAAATGTGGAATCATTTTCTAAAGTACTGAAAGGTGTAGATCGTAAGGGGTGAAGAACGATCGTGGTCTTTAACTCCAAAAAGCCATTATCCTTAGTGCTTTTGCTCTATCTACATGGTGTCTCCTCATTAGTACATGATCAATAGACGCTACGTTGGAGGAGGCACAAGTTTTGATTAAAATCCCGAAATCTCCTCCCATGCAGACGAGACATTTTAAATATGTGCATGAAGAAGTCTATTTTCACATAAACGAAAGTTCGAGCTTTTGTTGCCTGCTCCTATGTAATCCAATCACAATTGTCCAACGTAGATTTTGCCCCTGACTACACCTTCCTTGTGTTGGACCTCGCCGTCGCTAAAATTGGCGTTGACTACACCTTCATGATCGCCCCTGTCTACATAATTGAGGTCTCCTCTGCCTTCTCCCGTGGCTTCTTTACCTCCTTCCCTGAGGTACTAACTCTTTTTCTTTTCTATTTTTCCCCTTTAATTTTGTAGCATCTTTTTCATTTTTTTATTTGTAATCAACTTTTGTCTTCTTCATGTTGAACTTCCATTGTTGTTGTTTTGGGAAAAATGAAAATTAGAAAGGTGATTGCTTTTTTATACATCGTTTTGGTGGTTCAGGTGTTCATCAATGTCGGCACCATGTTGGCTACATATCCATCTACACCTTCTCAAAGCTCCATTTCAACCTCGGGTGGCGTGTCAAGCTCAGCATGGGAGCAATCTCTTTGGTCCTGGTCGTCATCGGGATCCTTGTCAAGTCACAATCCCTGGTGGCTCATCATGCAAGGCTGCCTAGGCGACGCAAATCACTCCCTCGCCAGGACCTCCGATTCGAAGAAGGAGGCCGCACTCCGGCTCGCCAATATCAATGAGGCTGCCGACATCCCAAAGGAGTGCAACGAGGATGTTGTCAAGATCATCAAGCAAAGCGTCGGAGAGGGCATGTGGCCGGAGGACATATGGCGGAATCTCCTTCTCCAACTAATCTGTCCATCCGCCACATGCTCAATTGGATCGTTGGGATCCACTTCTTGCATCAAGCATGTGGCATCGACACCATCCTCTAAATCGTGGTCCTCCATGTACTCCATGACGTTTAATAAGCCACTCATTATTTCCATTTCGTATTCCAAGGCCTTTTTTTTTAGCAAACTAGTTTTCCAAGTTGAATTAGGGGTGATTGATTGTTTTGCGTCAACCTGTGCTTACCCCTTTTATAAGAGATGCCCAGTGGCCGACAAATATAGATGGTTTCTTGATCCCAATGGCCGACAAAGACGAAGGGTCCCTCTCCAATGGTCCACAAATAAGGAGAGGTTGACAAATAAGAATGGATGTCGAAGGGCCATAAATTAGGTAGGGCCGACAAATAAGGATAGTCCATTCTAATGCTCGACGAATAAGAAGGGTAATAGAAAATGTGGAATCATTTTCTAAAGTACTTAAAGCTGTAGACCATAAGGTGTGAAGAACAAGTATGGTTTTTAACCCCAAAAATCCAGCATCCTTAGTGCTTTTGCTCTATCTACATAGCTTCTCCTCATTGGTGCATGGTCAATAGACTCTTTATTGGAGGAGGCATAAGTTTTGATTAAAATCCCGAAATCTCCTCCTATGCAGACGAGACGTTTCGATATGTACATGAAGAAGTCTATTTCCACGTAAACGAAACTCCGAGCTTTGTTGCCTGCTCCTAAGGAATCCAATCACAACTGTCCAACGTGGGTTTCGCCTGTGACTACACCTTCCTCGTGTCGGGTCTCGCCGTCTCTAAAATCGACGTTGACTACACCTTCATGATCGCCCCCGTCTACATAATTGAGATCTCCTCTGTCTTCTCCCGTGGCTTCTTTACCTCCTTCCCTGAGGTACTAACTCCTTTTCTTTTCTATTTTTCCCTTTTAATTTTGTAGCATCTTTTTCATTTGTTTGTTTGTCATCAACTTTTGTCTTCTTCATGGTGAACTTGCATTGTTTTTGTTTAGGGAAAAATGAAAATTAGAAAGGCGATTGTCTTTTTATACATCGTTTCACTAGTTCAGGTGTTCTTCAATGTCGGCACCATGTTGGCTACGTCTCCATCTACACCTTCTCCAAGCTCCACTTCAACCTCGGGTGTTGTGTCAAGCTTAGTATGGGAGCAATCTCCTTGGTCCTACTCGTGGTCCTTGTCAAGTCGAAATTCCCGGTGGCTCATCTTGCAAGGTTGCTTAGGCGACACAAAGCACTTCCTCGCTAGGACCTTCGACTCTAAGAAGGAGGCCGCACTACGGCTCGCTAACATTAATGAGGCTTCCGACTTCCCTAAGGAGTGCAACGAGGATGTTGTTAAGATCACCAAGCAAAGTGCCGAGGAGGGCATGTGGCGAGAGGACGTGTGGCGGGATCTTACTCTCCAACTGACCCGTCTATCCGCCACATGCTTATATGCATCGTTGGGATCCATTTCTTTCAACTGGTCTGTCATATTGACACCATCCTCTTAATTGTGGTCCTCCATCTCTATGACGTTTAACAAGTCACTCGGTTGTTCCATTCCACACTCCAAGGCATTTTTTTGGCAAGCTACTTTTCCAAGTTGAATTAGGGGTGATTAATTGTTTTGCATTAACCGGTGCTTACCCCTTTTATAAGAGATGCGCAGTGGCTGACAAAGATGGAGGGACTCTCCCTAATAGTCCATAAATAAGGAGAGGTTGACAAATAAGAAAGGATGCCGAGTGGCCATAAATGAGGAAGGGCCGACAAATAAGGATATTCCCTTCTAATGCTCGATGAATAAGAAGGGTAACAGGGAATGTGGAATCATTTTCTAAAGTACTTAAAGGTGTAGACCATAAGGGAACAACGAGCATGGTCTTTAACCCCAAAAATCCAGCATTCTTTGTGCTTTCGCTCTATACACATTACGTCTCCTCATTGGTGCATGGTCAATTGACGCTACATTGGCGGAGGCACAAGTTTTGATTAAAATCCCAAAATCTTTTCCATGTAGACAAGACGTTTTCAATATATGCATGAAGAAGTCTGTTTCCACATAAACCAAACTTCGAGATTTGTTGCCTGCTCCCAAGGAATCCAATCACAACCGTCCAACATGGGTTTCACTCATGAGTACACCTTCCTCGTGTTAGGCCTTGACGTTGCTAACATCGACGTTGACTACACCTTCATAATCGCCCTCGTTTACATTGCCGAGGTCTCCTCTGCCTTCTCCCACAGCTTCTTTACCTCCTTCCCTGAGGTACCAACTCATTTTCTTTTCTTTTTTTCCCCTTAATTTTGTAGCATCTCTATCATTTTTTTATTTGTCATCAACTTTTGTCTTCTTCATGTTGAACTTTCATTGTTCTTGTTTCGGGAAAAGTGAAAATTAGAAAGACGATCGTTTTTTTATACATCGTTTCGGTGGTTCAGATGTTCATCAATGTCGGCACCATGTTGGCTACATCTCCATCTGTGCCTTCTCCAAGCTCTACTTCAACCTCGGGTGGCATGTCAAGCTTAGTATGGGAGCAATCTCTTTGGTCCTTTTTGTCATCAAGGTACTCGTCAAGTTGGAATCCCTCGTGGCTCGTCATGCAAGGCCGCCTGGGCGACACAAAGCACTTCCTCACTAGGACCTCCGACTCTCAGAAGGAGGTTGCACTCCGACGCGTAGACATTAATGAGGCTGTTGACATCCCTAAGGAGTGCAACAAGTGTGTTGTTAAGATCACCAAGCAGAGCGCCGGAGAGAGCATATGACGAGAGGATGTATCGCAAGATCTCCTCCAACTGACCCGTCCGTTCGCCACATGCTCATCTGCATTGTTGGGATCCACTTCTTCCAATAGGCCTGTGGCATTAACACCATCATCTACATCCTGGTCCTCCTTATACTCTATGACGTTTAAGCTACGGGCGCGAATAATAACCATTCTATTCGAGAAATAGATTTCTACCTATTCCCTGGATGAGTTTTTGAACAGAGATATATGTTTGATAACGACATAAAATTTCTTTTCCCAGAATAGAAATTCGTTTGATAACGACACAAAATTTCTCTCTCTTACGTTCTTTTCCATTCATTGACCGGTGGTGGCCAGCGGGGAGTGGCGGTGGCCGGCGATGGTAGTCGTCAGGCGGCCGCAGCGGTTGGTAGGAGGCGGGACGCGACCGGTGGCCTGATGATGAGTGGGTGGCAGTCGTTGGCTGTAAGGGGTGGCAATGCCGGCCCGCCGGCGATGGGAGGCAAGGCGAGCAATGAGAAGAGTTTTTATTTTCCTTTTGTTTTAGAAATAGAAAATTAGAAAATTTTTACTTCTTATTTCTTTTGCAAACCTATTTCTGGACTAAAAGTTTGTTTCAGAAATTGAAAAATGAAATTGCGTTACCAAACAGATTTTTGTTCCAAATCTATTCCGGGGAATAGAAAAATAGAAAAACGGAAAAATAGAATGATTATCATGCATACCCTACTTTTCCAAGTTGAATTTTGGATGATTAATTGTTTTACATCAATCGGTTCTTGCCCCTTTTATAAGAGATGCCCAGTGGCCAACAAATAAGGACGGTCTCTCGATCATAATGGCTGACAAAGACAGAGGGTCTCTCCCTAATGGTCTATAAATAAGGAAGGATGCCAAATGGACATAAATTAGGAAGGGCTAATAAACAAGGAGAGTCCCTTCTAATGCTCAACGAATAAGAAGGGCAATAGGGAATCATGAATCATTTTCTAAAGTACTTAAAGCTATAAACCATAAGGGGTGAAGAACGAACGTGATCTTTAAACCCAAAAATCTAGCGTCCTTCGTGCTTCCGCTCTATCTAGATAGCATCTCCTCGCTGGTGCATGGTCAATAGACGCTACATTGGAGGAGGTACAAGTTTTAATTAAAATCCCGAAATCTCCTCCAATGCAGATGAGACGTTATGTGCATGAAGAAGCTTGTTTCCACATAAACAAAACTTCGAGCTTTGTTGCATGCTCTCAAGGAATCCAATCACAACTATCCAACATGGGCTTTGCCCGTGACTACACCTTCCTTGTGTTGGGCCTCAACGTCGCTAACATCGACGTTGATTACACCTATCTACATCTTCGAGGTCCCCTCTGCCTTCTCCCGTGGCTTCTTTACCCCATTCCCTGAGGTATCAACTCATTTTCTTTTCTTTTTATCCCCCTAATTTTGTAGCATCTTTTTCATTTTTTTATTTGTCATCAACATTTGTCGTCTTCATGTTAAAGTTGCATTATTCTTGTTTCGGGAAAAATAAAAATTAGAAAGGCAATTAATTTTTTATACATCGTTTCGATGGTTCGGGTGTTCATCAATGTTGGCACCATGCTGGCTACATCTCCATCTACGTCTTCTCCAAGCTCTATTTCAACTTTGGGTGGCGTGTCAAGCTCAGCATGAGAGCAATCTCCTTGGTCCTAGTTGTCATCTGGGTTCTCGTCAGGTCGGAATCTCCGATGGCTCATTATGCAAGGCTACCTAGGCAACGCGAATCACTTCCTCGCCAGGTCAAGAGGTCGCACTCCGGCTCACCAACATCAATGAGGCTACCAACATCCCTAAGAAGTATAACGAGGACATTGTCAAGATCACCAAGCAAAGCACCGGAGAGGGCATGTGGCAGGATATCCTTCTCCAACTAATCTCATCCTTTCGCCACATGCTCACGTGAATCATTGGGATCCACTTCTTCCAATAGGCCTGTGGTATTGACACCATCCTTTACATCCTGGTCCTCCATGTACTCTATGACGTTTAATGAGTCGCTCAGTTGTTCCATTCCATATTCTAAGGCTTGTTTTTTTAGCAAGCTACTTTTCCAAGTTAAATTTGGGATGATTGATTGTTTTGTATCAACCGGTGCTCACCTCTTTTATAAGAGATGCCCAGTGGCCTACAAATAAGGATGGTCGCTCGAGTCCAATGGCCGACAAAGACGGAGGGTCTCTCCCCAGTGGTCGACAAATAAGGAAGGATGTCGAATGGCCATAAATTAGGAAGGGTCGACAAATAACGAGAGTCCCTCCTAATGCTCGACGTGTAAGAATGGTAACATGGAATGTTGAATCATTTTCTAGATTACTTAAAGGTGTAGACCGTAAGGGAAGAAGAACGAGCGTGGTCTTTAACCCCACAAATCCAATGTCCTTAGTGCTTTCGCTCTATCCAGATGGCGTCTCCTCACTGGTGCATGGTCAACAGATGCTACAATGGAGGAGTCACAAGTTTTGATTAAAATACCAAAATCTCCTCCCATACAGATGTGACATTTTCGATATGTTCATGAAGAAATTTATTTCCATGTAAACAAAAGTCCAAGCTTTGCTGCCTGCTCCCAAAAGAATCCAATCACGAACCGTCCAACATGTGCCCATAGCACACATCCAATATAAAGACTTTTGAGGATGCTATGTGCCATCTTGAGCTGGAAGAGGACCGCCTTATGGCAACTAAACCAGAATCCGACATCTGGTTCTTGCTCACATGGAACTTTGGGCTCCAAGCGCAAGCATCATGGTGGGTTCAAGAAGTGGAAGGGCGAGGGAGCAAATTCTTCAGGAAAGAAACCAAGGTTTAACCAACATGAGAAATGAAAGCGTCCTTTCAGAAGGAACATCTCAAAAGGGAAATGTTTTAACTGTGGCAAGAATGGTCACTTTGCTCGCGATTATGGCGAGCCAAAGAAAGTAGAAACTCTAAGTATACTAATGTATTAAGTTCTGTTTTGCTAACTGAATCTCATCCTTTATGAACTGTTAGACTTAGGAGCCACAGACCTTGTAGGGAAGGACAGAGATGCCATTGTAGAGTTGCGATGAGTTTCACAAGGAGCAAAGTGGATATATATGTGGAACAATTCCAGAGCAGAAGTTAAAGGGATTAGCACCTACCAATTGAATATGTGTAGTGGTCACACCTTGTTCCTACATGATGTGTTATATGCTCCTGAAATTCGTCGGAATTTAGTTTCTGTATTGGTTTTGATTAAGCTTGGCTTTAATTTAAACTTTCATAACAATTGTATTGACTTGTATTTAGGAATGAGTATGTATGGTTTTGGACATTTTCTAAATGGTTTTATTGTGTTGGATATTAACTACAGTGATGTTAATGTTTGCTATTCCTTATTCACATCTCCTAAATCTTATGATAATTATATGAATGTATGGCATGCTAGACTAGGTCATATAGGCCAACAACAAATGAATAGATTAGCCAAAGAGGCTTAATGGACAATATTAAAAAGTTGATTTGCCTATTTGCGAGTGTTGCCTAGCGGGAAAAACAACACGAAAACCATTTGAAAAAGGGACAAAGAGGCAAAAAGAGCTGAGTGCTCAAAAGGATACGTGTTTATGGGTGAACAACAGAGTGGAAGTGTGACTGAATTTGAATAACAAGATATTACAATCTTAAAGAACAAATTTCCAAAAAAAGGGTGAAATAGGTGAAGACTATTCTCTATTTGAAACCTTGGATCGCGATAATGAAACTATTGGAGTTACAATACCATCATCTCATCCAAGTGGGAGCAATGTGAGAAGTGAGGAATTAAATTCAAACAAATCTCAATTGCAACCACTTAATAAGACGATGCCACCATTATCTAATCCAAGTGGGAGCGTAATGGAGCATGGTGATTCACCAAGTGTACCGTCTCCAATACGGCGAACAAGTTGTTGAAGCATTCCCCATCGACATTTCGATATTGAAGAGGAAGCTTTCATGGCTACTCCATAACAAGAGGATGAGCTGAGGAATGCAAATGAGGTTCTAACATGCTGTGATAAGGAAAAATGGATGCAAGCAATGGAAAAAGTAATGGAGTCAATGAAATCCAACCGAGTTTGGGAATTGGTTGATCTCCCAAAAGGACGCAAAGCCATTGGTAACAAGTGGATTTTCAAAATAAAGCGTAAAGCTAATGGCTCAATTGATTATGAAGAAACTTTTTCTCTTGTGGTGAAATTTACTTCAATTCGCTTTATTCTGGCAATAATAGCGAGTACGGATCTTGAATTACATTAAATGGATGTAAAGATTGCTTTTTTCAATGGAGAATTAGATGAAGAAATCTATATGGAACAACCCATTGGTTTCATTACAAATGGCTAAGAACAAAAGGTATGTCGACTTTTATGATCGATATATGGGCTTAAGCATTCTTTGAAACACGGGTATACACATTTTCATAATGTCATAATGGCGTATGATGGCGTATGATTTTGTGATGATCGATGAAGATCATTGTGTATAAATCAAAAGATCCAAACATCAATTTGTGATCTTATCATTATATATGGATGATATATTAATTGCCGGGAGTAATATGGAGTTTGTTAATACGGTCAAGAATTGGCTATTTTCTAATTTTGAAATGAAAGATATGGATGAAGTTGCATATATTCTTGGTGTTAAGATTTCAAGAGATCGGTTAAAGAGATCATTATCTCTTTGACAAGAAATGTATATAAATAAATTTCTTAAACGATTTTATATTCAAGACAACAAACTTATAGTTACTTTTATTGCAAAAGGTGAAGGATTGAGCCGTACAATATGTCTTGAGACTCCACAAGAAGAAGAACGAATCAAATGTGTTCCATATAGGGGTGACCAACGGTCCAGGGTTGACCCTGGACCAACCCTGAACCAGCCCCACCCGGCCGGTCCTGGTCCGGTTCCTTGGGGGACTGGGTCGGTCCTTGGTCCTAGGACCTCTGGACCTGCACTATGCGGGTT